ACAGGGTAACAGAATAAACAAAGAGAACCTTCCTACCATAGCGTTGACCTGTAACCTTGACCTCTCGTGACTTACCGAAGTGCCTGGCAAGCTGTGGCAGCCTCCCCCTCCCTCGCTGTGGTACCCTCCCCCTCCCTCGCTGTGTCACCCTCCCCCTCCCTTGCTGTGGCACAGCGCTGTCGCCTAAATAAGGAAGTTGCACTACTAGATTCCATTTTTAAGACCTTAATTGTAACTGCCAATTGTAACTACTATGTTTAATAATTTGGCACTGCCTCGTGGTGCCACGTTTGAGGTCCTGGCACCGTCTTTACCTCAGTCCTTGGAGCCTCTTTACTGTCCTCCTCGAGCTGAGGAACACTCCATCCAGTGACAGTAACGTCTGTCGCGACAGTCAGCATGGTACCCTGGGTTATGACGGGTCCACCAGCCTCAGCATGGTACCCTGGGTTGTGACGGGTCCACCAGCCTCAGCATGGTACCCTGGGTTGTGACAGGTCCACCAGCGTCAGCATGGTACCCTGGGTTGTGACGGGTCCACCAGCGTCAGCATGGTACCCTGGGTTGTGACAGGTCCACCAGCGTCAGCATGGTACCCTGGGTTGTGACAGGTCCACCAGCGTCAGCATGGTACCCTGGGTTGTGACAGGTCCACCAGCGTCAGCATGGTACCCTGGGTTGTGACAGGTCCACCAGCCTCAGCATGGTACCCTGGGTTGTGACAGGTCCACCAGCCTCCGCATGGTACCCTGGGTTGTGACAGGTCCACCAGCGTCAGCATGGTACCCTGGGTTGTGACAGGTCCACCAGCGTCAGCATGGTACCCTGGGTTGTGACAGGTCCACCAGCCTCAGCATGGTACCCTGGGTTGTGACAGGTCCACCAGCCTCAGCATGGTACCCTGGGTTGTGACAGGTCCACCAGCCTCAGCATGGTACCCTGGGTTGTGACAGGTCCACCAGCCTCAGCATGGTACCCTGGGTTGCTCTTGCTGTTCTTACTATTCGCTTCAAGGATGGTAAGTACATAATAAATAAGACTGAGGCAGGAAAGAAGCTCCGTATTTACGACCAGAACTCAGAAGAAGGAGAAAAGAGAGAAAGTGAGATAAGAATAGCTTATGGGAAATTATTCTTGAGATAAAAGTCTCCGTTCACAGGAGCCGCGCCGGTATATGCCGTGATAGGAACGGTGTGCAGGAACTTGTCTAACGATGCATTGACACAATTTATTTTTTTGTTCTTAATTATGTGCACGCTTTAGGCTCGCACTGAAATGGGTAATGAGAGAGGTGAAGGTTGCTTAGGAAAAGGTGGTTATTTGTGTGGTAAGTTGGTCGTGTGTGCGCTGGTCCTTGTGGCAGTGTTCCCACGTGGTCTTGCTGCGGTAATTGTTCTCTTGATAGCCTACACAAGCCATCTGCGTCAGCTATCTTGCTATCGTGTAGCAAGCTGTCAGCTTGCTACACGATAGCAAGGGGATGGCAGATCACCCCTAGGATGAACAACCTTCAAATGGATGACAGATAATCGTGGGACTCGCTCATATGTTGCCGCAAATTCTTCCTGTCCGCTTTAGAATCGCGTCTGGCCATTCTAGACACGAAGTTCCAGTATTAAAATTTAGAGCAATAACCGTTCCAGCACAGCAAGGCTGAGTCCCGCCTGTGTAGCCAGGGCGAGGATAGCAGCAGCTGGAAGGAGCCACGAACGGCAGCCATCACTGGTGACATACACGTGCGGCTTTCCTGAAGGGATGTCTGCTTCCTCTATGCAGACGAGACCTCCACCAGCATACTGGAGGTGGTGTGTGTGTGTGTAGTCGAGTCTTGTGTTTATGAAGGTACCGTCCATAGACACCCCGGGTTTAGAGCCTGCTGCCACACAAGGACGTAGAGAGAGAGAGAAAGAGAGAGATACCTTCCGGTAAGTGATGACCAATTACTTAAGTTTACAGCTGAGAAAAGTAGCATTGGAAAGTTTGGCCACACGAGGAGGAAGCAACGATGGCTGCAGGAGCAACTGTCGTCGCCATTACGGTCAACATTTCGCCGTTCCAAGGTTTTGTGGGTGTTACTGACGGAGGGAGAAGGAAGGGGGGACGTCATGTATACTGTCCGTATACACATCAAACGCACAATACTCAGCAGGAGCTGAGCACGCACAACAACACTGATTCTGAGTTTCACGGTGAACTTTGAACAAATTAATCTCTTCAATAATACAAGTGTGCAGCAGCTGCCACATCCTTGACATTATCTCTCCTGGACCAGATTAAGAGTATTGATCTTCTCTGGGAGGAGTGTGAAGGTCTCTTATGTTGTATAAAAGTACCAGAAATGATCTCCGATGTCATTTCTTCCCACAGCTTGGTATATTTTACTTGAAATAATATATTATTTGGTGAAAAAGCATTTGGTTCTTGGAAACCATCAACTATTGATGGTTTCAGTCTCGAAACTTTAAAGGTATCTATCTTTGAACTGATGATTGGTGGATATTTTCTTAGTCTTAAAGACCTTTAGCTATTTTCTTTTTTTGCTCTAACGTTAAGCTTCAAATATTTTCTTAGAGCAAAAGATACAGCACGATGTTGTTTAAAGATCCTAAGGACTCAAGCCAAAAGACGTTTATCATCTTTCCTCGATAAACGTCTTGAAGTCTTGGCCCTATCAGGAGGACCCAACACTTTCTTAGATCCCGCATCTTTCTCGTGTGTTCTCTTCAGGTTCCAGTAAAGGTTTCATGTACAGAAGAAAATGCGGTACCTGAGACACTTTTCAGAACCTGTATCACTAAGCGTGTCAGAACCTGTATCACTAAGCGTGTCAGAACCTGTATCACTAAGCGTGTCAGAACCTGTATCACTAAGCGTGTCAGAACCTGTATCACTAAGCGTGTCAGAACCTGTATCACTAAGCGTGTGAGAACCTGTATCACTAAGGTGTTAAAGGTCATGATGTGATAACCTTTAACACGGAACACATTAATAATATAAGCTCAAAGGCTTTTTGCTTACAGAATGCCTGGCATAGATCGAATTATCAAGGAAAAGCGCCAAGCCATTACGACTATATAGCACTTGGAAGGGGTTAGGATAAGGATTTGGGATGCGACGGGGGGGAAGGAATGGAGCCCAACCATTTGGGACGGTCTGTGAACACCGACCTGTATGAAGCGAGACCTTCTGTACCGTCGTCAACTTTAAACAAAACAAGAGGGGAAACAAAAAACACAAAACATAGCCATGAGAACCAAACCTAAGGCTAATTAAACGTATCTTAGGCCAAATTCTTATATAGGCTAAAGTAGGCCCAAGATACGCAAACTTAAGCCTAGGATACGTTAGAATATGTTTTTTATTTTGTTTGAAAGTACCTACTATTACAAAATATGTACTGATATGTGTTCAACAGTCTCCATTTTGCACATAGGTCTCTGATCAGTCACTTCGAATATCATCCTTTTGGAGGCTTGGAGGAATTATCATGCCACATATATGTTATAAATTTCATAAAACAATTTACATAAATGCAGAAATTATATCCACACAAACCAATTCAATATTTTTGTTAATATTCGCCTTTAATCTATATTATGAGAGAAGGTCTGTGTCTTGACCAGACCACACACTAGAAGGTGAAGGGACGACGACGTTTCGGTCCGTCCTGGACCATTCTCAAGTCGATTGTGAGAATCGACTCAATCGACTTGAGAATGGTCCAGGATAGACCGGAACGTCGTCGTCCCTTCACCTTCTAGTGTGTGGGTCTGGTCAACATACTTTAGCCACGTTATTGTGACTCACCGCCTGCAAAAGGTCTGTGTCTGTTTGTCCAAAGCTGGAGACCTGACACTTTTGAGACTACGCTTATCAAACTTTGTAGAAGGAATGGTCTGGTGTCCGGGATGGACATAGGCTGATCGGGGGTAGGCTTACCTTAAATGCTTTAAGAAATATATGCAACTATAAAGAACCCCGCGCCATTTTCTCAGACAAATGTGAACGTTGGTGTGTGATTAACGTAGAGTTTGTGACCTCAGAATTATATAAAAAAATTAGTACATACAATTGTTTCTGTGCTTCATAATATATGTTCAAGTATGCATAGATGGATGAATAGATGGATAGACAGAATGATAGCTTGCTTGATGGATAGATGGATATATGGGAGACAGATCCGGGCAGTGCCGGGTTCCCCTCCTTGTAGCTATATATTTTAATGGGCACTAACACAGTCCTCAATTAAAAGGTTCCTAATAATAGATGCCAGCTAACTACTGCCAAATAGCCATTAGAGCTGTCAGATGTAGTTAGCAAGTGACGAGTCGAGTGGTCCAGCCGGTGAAGCAAAACAATCAATTTACAAACTCTTAAAAAAACGAGAGAACCCCTAAAACACTCATACATCAGAAACATTAAAACGCCCCCAACAAGAGAAACTAAAACACCCCAAAGAGAGAAGTTAAAATACACTTACAAGAGAAACAGTAATAAAATAGCCCTTACAAGAAAAGCTTCACAATACCTCCTACAAGAGTAACCAAAACAGCTTCATTCGTGTATGTACTTTGGGATATTGTGGAGCTGTTACCATTAGTGTGTGATCTCAGGGGGTTGTAAGGGTGACCGTAGAGCGGGTAACCCTTATCAACCCCTTATCAACACCAGTGCCAGGATTTTGCACGATTGCATGTGTATTTTTTTGAGCATGTTTTGCCTTCCTCTCTTTTCCCACCCCCCCCTTCTCCCCCTCTCTCACTCTCTCTCTCTCTCTCTCTCTCTCTCTCTCTCTCTCTCTCTCTCTCTCTCTCTCTCTCTCTCTCTCTCTCTCTCTCTCTCTCTCTCTCTCTCTCTCTCTCTCTCTCTCTCTCTCACATGTGCCCCGGCGTATCGAGGTTCAGAGCTCCCTATAAGAAAAGCACTTCCAAAATAGTAATGTTGTGTTATAGCTCCTAATCCCAAGGGTTGTATATAAGAGAATATTTTTAAATTTCAAGCGGACCCCCTGAAGCTACACCATACGACCAGCGCCTTGCCAGGTATTTCAGGTGTTAACCCGTCGGCGTCTAGCCTACCTAGCCTGGGGATTGTTGACGGCCAAACAATCTAGGGTTTTTTTTATAGTATACAGCAAGAAATATATATTTTTTATGATTACGCACCGTGATCCCTAGTTCCCCCCGCCCCCCCCTCTCCCCAGAATGTTGTTGCTGCCGCCCCCCCTGCCCCCTGCCCCCTTTTTTTATACCCCTTTTGCTCCCCCCTCCTTAATATACTTATGATTGCTCAGCTGCTCTGATTGGCCAGCCAACCCCACCACCACACCTGCTCTATCCTAAACGATGCTAAACGCCGCTGCCACCAATTACCCCCGCCCCCCACACACCTGTAGTTGTTGTTGTTGTTGTTGTTGTGTCCCTCTCGTGTGTGTAGCGATGACCTCTTCTGCTGCAGGTGTCCAGAATGTACACGAACACTTGTGTAGTCTTAGTCATCCGTGGCCTCATTTTATCATTCTCTTTCTTTTCCAGCATTTATCTGGGGTCATTTTCCCAGAGCTGATTTCTTTAGCGTGTAGACGGAGCCGTTGTGGTCTCGGCCCCCATGGGCTGCCTTCTGGCGTGCAAGGCCCGGTACATCGTCCCTTGAGAACCCCAGGAACATGTTCCGTAAAGATCCCCCCGGAACATGTCCCATCAAGAACCCCCCCGGAACATGTTCCGTTATGGACACGAAGTCTACAAACCACGTTGCTATTTGTAAAGAAATAAATATTGACTAAAGTCTGGGTTCTAGCTCCCGGGCCCTGCACGCTGAGGTTCAAAGTTCATGGCGGTTCAAAGTCATTTGACTTTGTGTTCATTTTTTCTGCTCATATAGTATGAGTTCTTTGTTCTGCCATATTTCATGTGTTCATATATATTTTTTATATAATGTTATATAATTTATTAGATATGATATCCAATTTTCTTAGAAAATAATTGAGATACAAATAGTGTTAGTTAATTATTTTAATTAAGTTCATATGAATGTTCTTATTCATCTTAAGTAGCAAATTAAAAAATAAAATCTTTGGCCATTTTAAATCTACACTTCTAAATATGTTTTGGTCAACCAATATTTAGACTTCCATAACTTGTAATTTTACTCAACTGTGATATTTATCTATTTATAGTCTATTTATATTTATCGTCTATTTCTTAACAAAAAAATTATTTAGCGCATGTATGTGTTGCCTTAACTCCCAAATACCATATTGTAGATTATACAGCAGTCAAGTCTTAATTAAGTCTTGCTGAAGAACAGTTTATTTGTCCATTTGAAACCTAAGTTTAAATAGGAATCAAGTATAAGGTCCCCTTTGTTGACACAGCTTGCACACGCCCTCCCTCTGTTGCCAGCCTCCCCGTGCCGACATAGTCCCCCCATTAATGGGGGACTGAAACACTTGTAGTGTTGTCCGCACACACACACACACGCTTAGTAACCATAACCCAGTGGTCACTATATCCAGGACTAACGTTAATTCAACGTTACGCGTGGATTTTATGCTCACTGGGACGTTATTTTTACGTTAAGGAGATAAAAAGCGTTGTGGTTATGTTGCGTGTGTGCCGGGAGGTCAGGTTCCACTTCCATGTCACGTACAGTAAATATCTCCCTCACTGAGTCATTATACCCGACCTAGCATTCATGAGATGTGCACACAAGTACTCGGGTCCTCCTCACACAAGTACAGTCTACTTATCCCGGGTTTCATCATGCTTTTTACCAGAAAGAACGCGAGGGAGAAGGAGAAGGAGGCGGCGGCCATGTTTGACACGGCCCACATCTTCCAGGAGTACACTTACAAGAAGATCACGGCCTGCGATGTCTGCCACCAGATACTGAGAGGTAAGCCTATATCACCCCCCCCCACCCTACACCCGAACACCCACATGCGGTGTAGGCCTTCCACTGCCCGTCTCCACTCTCTGGCTAGGCCTACACTTGCGCATTTATTCCATTCATATAGCCGTTGTTTAATATATATATATATATATATATATATATATATATATATATATATATATATATATATTTTTTTAGCTGGAGGAACTCGACAACTTATGATAACCATATTTGTACCCTATATGTAACTCCTATTTTGTAACAAAGTTCAAATAAAAAAAAAAATATATATAAATATATATATATATATATATATATATATATATATATGTCGTACCTAGTAGCCAGAACTCACTTCTCAGCCTACTATACATGGCCCGATTTGCCTAATAAGCCAAGTTTTCCTGAATTAATATATTTCTCTAAATTTTTTCTTATGAAATGATAAAGCTACCCATTTCATTATGTATGAGGTCAATTTTTTTCATTGGAGTTAAAATTAACGTTGATATATGACCGAACCTAACCAACCCTACCTAACCTAACCTAACCTATCTCTATAGGTTTGGTTGGGTTATGTAGCCGAAAAAGTTAGGTTAGGTTAGGTTAGGTAGGTTCGGTAGTCGAAAAACAATTAATTCATGAAAACTTGGCTTATTAGGCAAATCGGGCCTTGCATAGTAGGCTGAGAAGTGAGTTCTGGCTACTAGGTACGACATATATATATATATATATATATATATATATATATATATATATATATAAAATTCGATATACATATAAAATTTATTTTATTTTTTTTTCTCTTCAAGGTGAAGGATAGAAGACAGATTAAGCGTTTACCATCCCTTAGCGATAAAACTTTCTGGTTTTCTTGGGCCACAGAGCACTATACCCTTCGATTTACCTGCTATTGATGATCAGAAGGTAAAAGCCCCGCCTCCATGACCAAAAAGATGGTCATGGAGGCGGGGCAAATTCCCCTTAGGACCCCCCTTGTCATAGCAACCCTGAGGGAGACCTAATGCGGCCCCAACCCAGGAACCCCAACCTAACCCCACTAGGAGGTAAGGCACCTAAACCAACCACCCCTGACCTAACCTTGAAACAGGAGGCCCCCAAGATGAAGGAGGAGGAGCAAGGAGAGGTTAAGAGGGACCCACAGACACACTAACGATGCAACCCGTCCTCTTAAAAATTACGTCGCTTTTTGCTGGTATGCGCACTATGGCCAAAAGTGGACGTAATTTAAAATGAAATCGACTCACAAAAGTGACGTACTGTCCCGTTTTCTGTTTGAGTCATCCGGCTTACTCGGACAGGTTAGGAGAGGAAACATTCAATTAACGTTTTTCATAACGTTTTGAAACTTTATGAGAATTTCCTGCTCACCTATCCTACCAGAGGACCCTTAACTTACTGTTGGTGAAAAAAAAATCCCAAATTTATTTTCCTTTTTTTTCATTTTCAAATTACGTCCACTTTCAGCCATACGGGACAACGGGCAAAAGCGACGTTATTTTTAAGAGGTCAGGTTGTGCTAGCGCCGGTGACCTCGTACTTGTGGCGGCAAAGGCAGTACTCGCAAATCAGTCCTCGCTCGTTTACCTGTAGTGGTTGATGCACACCTGCCTTCCTACACATAGGGCAGAGCTCTAGAACCTCTGGAGGCACTGTGGTTCTACCTTCCTCTGAGAGTAATGTGCACGAGCTGTGAGCTGGGTGTCGCGTGTGTACTCACCTAATTGTGCTTGCGGGGGGGGTTGAGCTCTGGCTCTTTGGTCCCGTCTCTCAACCGTCAATCAAGAGGTGTACAGGTTCCTGAGCCTATTGGGCTCTATCATATCTACACTTGAAACTAGAAACTTGTGTGTGTGTGTGTGTGTGTGTGTGTGTGTGTGTGTGTGTGTGTGTGTGTGTGTGTGTGTGTGTGTGTGTGTGTGTGTGTGTGTACTCACCTAGTTGTACTCACCTAGTTGTGTTTGCGGGGGTTGAGCTCTGGCTCTTTGGTCCCGCCTCTCAACCGTCAATCAACAGCAATGTGTGTGTGTGTGTGTGTGTGTGTGTGTATGTGTGTGTGTATGTGTGTGTGTGTGTGTCTGTGTGTGTCTGTGTGTCTGTGTGTGTGTGTGTGTGTGTGTGTGTGTGTGTGTGTGTGTGTGTGTGTGTGTGTGTGTGTGTGTGTGTGTGTGTGTGTTTGTGTGTAGGGGGATAGGGAGGGGGGGATTAAGGATGCCAGTAATGACCAAATTATGTGTATATATAGACTGAGCCCCCCCCCCCTTGTGCGCACCGGGAAGAACTTGGTTGACCCGGGAGAACATGCAGCATTGAGATAGTAGAGAGAGAGAGAGAGAGAGAGAGACTAGGACAAAAGCACAGAGGGAATGTTGACGTGTGCTTTCATCTAGCAGCTCCTAGGTAACTGACTTTGCAGGATCCCGCCTTTCCAGCTGTCGGTAGTTCCTTGCCGTTATTCCTGACCATCTTTGCTGAGTGTCGTATGAGCTTTTAAAGCTGTGGATACACTGGGGAAAATATTTCCTCACATCTTTGTCGTTTCTCCATGGCAACCCTCAATTAGGTCCTCGGCACGCTACTGCTCATCCCAAACATTCTGTTTCTATCTATATTATTGATACCCCGGAGTATTTTGAATGCCTAAAACATGTCTTCTCTGTTTCTTCTTACTGCAAATGTTATAAAGTTCTTCTATCTCAGTCTTTTCCCGTAGATCACCCCTCATAAATTCTAATTCCTGGACAGGTTCTGCAGCATACTCTTGGACGCTCACCCTTGTTTGAGTACCCAGCACAGGTCTGACGTATGCTGCGTATAGCAGCATAAAGGTCCTCGCCAGCCTGGCGTATGTTGTTGACGGGACGCTCTGTGAGAGTGGCAGGAAGAGAGGAGAGGCAAAGAGAGCAAAAGGCCATCAGTGAAATAGAGAGAAATCCGAAATATTTTTTCTCCTATGCAAAATCAAGATCAAAACTCACATCTAGTATCGGGCCCCTGCGAAAGGGAGATGGAACTTTCACCGATGACAACAAAGAAATGAGCGAGTTACTGAGGACGCAGTACGACTCTGTTTTCAGCGAGCCATTAAACGCACTAAAGATTGATAACCCAAATGAATTTTTCATGGATATGATACCAACATTAAATCATATATCAGACGTCACCCTATCTCCACTAGATTTTGAAGAAGCCATAAACAGTATGCCTATGCACTCTGCACCAGGCCCGGATTCTTGGAACTCCATATTCATCAAGAACTGTAAAAAATCACTATCGCAGGCCCTTAACATTCTGTGGAGACAAAGCCTAGATACTGGCGTTATCCGTGACATACTAAAAACAGCAGAGATAGCACCACTTCATATAGGAGGTAATAAGGCAGAGGCAAAAAATTACAGACCGATAGCACTAACATCGCACATCATAAAAATTTTTGAGAGAGTGCTAAGAAGTAAGATCACAAAATACATGGAATCACAGCATCTCCATAACCCCTGACAACATGGTTTCAGAAGAAGGCGCTCTTGCCTGTCGCAGTTGCTGGACCACTATGATATGGCATTAGATGCTATGGAAGACAAAGAAAACGCTGATGTAATTTACACAGATTTCGCAAAGCCTTTGATAAATGTGACCATGGTGTTATTGCACATAAAATGCGTTCAAAAGGAATTACCGGAAAAATAGGCAGATGTATCTACAATTTCCTGACCAACAGAACCCAATGTGTAATAGTCAACAACAAAAAATCCAGCCCATCAACCGTGAAGAGCTCAGTCCCCCAGGGTACTGTGCTTGCTCCAGTACTTTTTCTCATCCTCATATCGGACATAGACAAGGACACAAACTATAGCACTGTATCATCCTTTGCAGATGACACTAGGATCTTCATGAGAGTAGGCAACATAGAGGACACGGCAAACCTCCAGTCAGATGTAGATCAGGTCTTTCTATGGGCTACAGAAAATAATATAGTGTTTAACGAGGATAAGTTCCAGCTCATGCGCTACAGAAAAAAATGAAAATATAAAAACGGAAACCACGTACAAAACTCAGGCAAATCATAACATAGAACGAAGAGGCAATGTAAAGGATCTGGGTGTACTCATGTCGGGAGACTGTTGGGACAGGACACCGTTGGGCTCTCATGGTGTTGTTTATATTATTATTATTATTATTATTATTATTATTATTATTATTATTATTATTATTATTATTATTATTTTTATTTCTACCACAGACGTAGCCACACATTTACAGGGCTAACCAGCATATATTCGTTTTCTTTTGTCCTCCATGGACATATATATATATATATATATATATATATATATATATATATATATATATATATATATATATATATATATATATATATATATATATATATATATATATATATATTCTTATAGTGGTGGGAAGCATGCCCTCCCTGAAGGTGTGTCGGTGACTTGTTGTCAAGGTAAGACGCTCTCTCTTAGTGAGTCATTGCTCTCTTCCTTATTATTCTCTCTTAAGACCTTGTGTGATAAGGACACTGGTCTCTAGTTGTGTTGTCCTCTTTGGTCCTATTAAGCGCGGGATGGTTTTCCAGGCCACCGCAGTAGACTACTGACCATCCGGCTAGTAGACTTTGGACCTAAAGATACTTGAAGACTAAAGTATAGTGCGTGTGTATACACTTGAGAAGTGAGGGACCCCTCTGTATAGCCCCCTTAAGGACTTCTCTGTGACCCCGTCTTGTATATTTGCATAGTAATGCCTTCTTCCCGCTGCCGGTGACCACCTGTGACCTCGGCCAGGCACTGCAGATCACTGCAAATGACTTAAACCAGGACCTTAAGAAGCTTTATATTTTGTTGTTTTCGTGGCGAGATCCTCACAGGTCCCCCGAGTCTTTGTGTCGTCCAGTTCCTCGGGCGAGTCTTTGTGTCGTCCAGTTCCTCGGGCGAGTCTTTGTGTCGTCCAGTTCCTCGGGCGAG